CGTCCCTGTGCGGTGGGACATGGTGATTACTGCAGAAAGCATCGCAGAGGCATCGCCAGGCGCGGGATCACCAGCGACAACCCGATGAACTCTTACCAAAACACAAGTGCACGTCTCTGCTATCACTTTCTCTTAGGCAGCCCTAGAGCGTGAAAGTTAGTAGTGGGGTGTGTGTAGAGGTAGAAACACGGTGGGAGGTGGAACCCTGTGCGGTGGGACATGGTGATTACTGCAGAAAGCATCGCAGAGGCATCGCCAGGCGCGGGATCACCAGCGACAACCCGATGAACTCTTACCAAAACACAAGTGCACGTCTCTGCTATCACTTTCTCTTAGGCAGCCCTAGAGCGTGAAAGTTAGTAGTGGGGTGTGTGTAGAGGTAGAAACACGGTGGGAGGTGGAATTGCGGTATATGTGACTGATTTACGACAGGAGTTTCCTTTACAGTCATAAGGGGAATTTTGCTTGGTCACAGCAAGTTTGAACCCTCATGAAACAGCCTGAATCATTTGAAGTTAAAATAAAACAGAGAATGGCAGGGGGAGGGGCATGGCCATTTAAAAAAAAAAAAACAACAAAAAAAAAACCCAGCAAAAAACACAACGTTAAAATTGTTTCCTTTGGTGCTGACTTCTTAAATGGGAATGTGATCCAGAATAGTTCTGGTGTGCAAGCCAACATTTGTTTTAAGAATTTTTATTGTCTTCTTTTCTCTCTTCCCCCTCTCCCCCTTGCCCTCCCCCTCTGCTCTGCAGATTTACACTGACTGGGCTAACCACTACCTAGCAAAATCTGGCCACAAGCGGTTGATCAAGGATTTGCAACAGGACATTGCAGATGGAGTTCTGCTAGCAGAAATCATCCAGATCATCGGTAAGACCAGGGCTGAGAGAAGCACTGCGAGCTGACTCCTTGCATGGGGGAATATATAATTCAAGTTGAATGTATTTAAAAATAAGATGAACCCTGAATAATACAATTTGACTGGGTCCATATGTCTCTGATATTTGTGTGGTTCATCCTTGTCTTAATTAAAAAATATGTTTATGTGAGCATGTTTGGAAGTGGCTGTTTAACCATACTTTAAATGGCCAGAACTGTATCTTACACACTTTGAATTGTCAGAAATGAATGCTCCATTAAACCATATGTCTCCCATGTGTGCATTTTGTTAGTTGGAGTGGCTCATACTTTCTGGGATGCCTTGAAACTGTATCCTGACCCTGCAAAGACAATTGTGGAAGATTTCATGTCAGCAGTTATTTTGCAGGGGCTGAAGAATTAGCAGCGACCTCCTTCGCACTTCCCCCTTTGCATGATTTGGCATGTGGAAGCAACTGCTGCTAACAAGAGTGTTGTTACTGTACGACTGAGCTTTACTTAGAAAGGAGCTCTGTGTCAACAAAACCCTGTGCACTTTATTGCTGTGTCTTTTCTGCTCTTCTTCTGTTTTGTTTTGGTTTGGTTTTTTTAGGTCTTTTTTTGGCCAGGGAGTGGAAAGGAAAGTTTTATCTCATTGTTTACTTCTGCTTTTCTCCTCACTGTTTTTGTTTAGCAAATGAAAAGGTTGAAGATATCAATGGCTGTCCCCGGAGCCAGTCTCAAATGGTAAGAATAAAATATATTTTTAGACTGTGTTGGCACCTCTGCACTTTCCTAAAATGCTTTTTAATAATGATTTATTTAAACTGTGAATATTCTGTCCCACATTTACCATAAAGTCCTAATTCTCATAGAGTGTTCCTGGTACTTTTTTTTCCACATGTGTTTAGTGTCTGTCACTTCATTTCTGTGCTCGCTACCTTTGGGTCTTGAAGTAACCCAGCAGCAAAACTTCATCACTTCTAATTAATCCAGAACTGCCTTAGCAGACCTGTTCTTCTGATGATCCAGATAATTTCATTTAACTTCATTTTTAAGGGCAGTAAACCCAAGAACAAATTTTTAAGTGGAGTCTTTGTGTCTGGAAAACTGGTTTGATGAACAAGACTTGCCAAATTATTTTTGAATATAAATAGCCTTTTGGATTGTCCACTGTAAAGTCCAGTTAGGTGCACTGACTCCAAGACTTTCAGAAATAGCACTTTAGTCATATAGCTCTCTGAGCTGTAGCTGGCAGCTGCTTAAAGACATTTTAATACTCTCAGTCAAGAAACATTTTGTGACTATGATTCATATGGAGTCTTATTAATCTTTTACTGTGTTTATGGCTAGTCAACTACATTTAATGAGATAAAGCCTCCTTAGAAGGCTGTGGAACTGACAGGTACAAAATCTGAGCCTCAATAACATCACCATGCATTTACTGAATCATTTGCAGTTCCAGTAATGCTCCCTCATGCTGAGGACTTTGCCTTTCTATTCACATCCAAATAGTATACGAGTAAGGTGCACAATTGTGTAGTTGGCAAGGATTTTGGAGTGTAATGATTTGGATGAGCTTGCGTAATAGCAAACTGCTGAAGCTGGGCTTAAAAATAGAAAAAAAATTGCATTCATTCAGTGCATTTTTTAAAGGGGGAAGGTATTTGCAGCTTTTTCCTGCAAAGCTGCAAAAGATAAAAGGAAAAATTTTGGGTACTAATGAAGTGAATAATCGTGTCTTTCAGTTCTTGCTTTTCAAAAAATGTGCAGGTTTAGAGTAAGTTTTTTCTCTGGCTTTCAGACTTTTTGAAACAGTCCATAGTAAGAATATATGTAATTTCCTTAATAATAGTTATTATTTTAATTACTCATATTACAGCAGCACCTAGTGGCCCTGGCTGAGAACGTTGGGAACTCCAGCGTGGAACTCTAATATTACACACACAGATTGAGAGATAATCACTCTCTACTTCAATCACATTAAAACCTGACATTCCAGACAGACAAGACAAACAAGAAGAGACAAAAGCACAGAAAAGTGATATGCTTTCCCAAGGTTATGTAACTGGTTAGTGACCATCTAGGACTGCTTAGGGACCCACCACTCTGATGTCTATAGAGCTTCATTTCCATGAGACAAAGCCGAGCTGCAGAGAAAATTATTCACCCTAGCAATGTTTGCATCTCCAAAGTGACAACATCTGTGTATGTTCCCTGTTGACAGGTAAAACTTTATGTGTCATAGGGATTCTGGATTTCATCTCCAGCTCCGCTGCAGTTATGTGGGAAACATGGTCAATGCATGGCTGTGCCACAGCAGTACCTGTGGGAATCTCTTTGTGTCCGTCATCCTCCTCCCGTAAGCACACCTCTCAGCTCAGCCAGGCCAAAGACTATGTCTCAGGTGCTCTGGGTCTCAAACCAGGTGCTTCGAACACTCTTGTGCATAGTGATACATCAGTGTTTGCACAGTGCTAAGGCGTCACGTTTAGCCACTTTAACTTGATAGAAATAGAATATATCTTTTCATTCTTTGATTTGGTCTCTTTACTGTATTGCTTTATCTCTACAGTCTGATCAGATTATTTTCCTGCCTTTTGACACACTAATTTTATACTGCTGATTTCTTCGACTGAGCTAGGAAATTTAAAATGAACGGTAGTTAAAGTAGTTCAAATGGTCAGCTTTCCTCTCAGAGCATCTCAGAGACTCTAGGTTTTGACTCTGCTCTCCATTTGTTTCCTTTGAGTTGTGCCCTGATCTAGCCTAGCTGAAGGCACAATCTTATTGCATTTTCAGGTAATTTCCCTTGACAGTGCTCAATTTTGTTAGCCCGCTCAGTTAATGATAGGCCAATTCTCTTCTTCTTGTAACAGTGGACTCTTGGGTGTTTGTAATGTGCAGAAAAAAAGATGTAACAGTGGACAAAGCTAGTTTACATGTTTGACATATGCCAGTATGTAGCAATATGTCCTGTCAGGATTTGTCAGAACATCAGCCATCAAACCAGCAACGTCATGGTATTCCTATAGCATGTTTGATTGATAGCCATTCATTCACCACTTTCATTTTAACATTTTTATTCAATAAACCTCAAGAAGGCCACCACCCTTTTCTTTCACATATGTTTTCATGATCCTTGCTCTCATAACTTGCAATTAAGGAGAAATGTTTTCTGTATTCATCTGCCATCTGATACCCTTCCCAGGAAGTGATTTCTAAGACATCTTATTAGTTTAAAAGAAGCTAGAGAGCACTGACATGTATTGTCTGCTCCTGGAAACACTTGATATCCCTTGTAGATTATATTGATATCAATTCATAATTAATCACAACCAATATTCCCAAGTTCTGTTCCACTCACCGTTTGGTTTTCCTCTTGCCAATGGCTTCATCTTTCAAGTGATTTCTAAGGCATCTCAATTCAGCTGTTACCTTAATTTGTAAACAACTTTTAATGTTTATTTTAAATATGTATAAAATGCTTCTTTTTTAGTTTTCTTTTAGTTAGGTCTATTGCAATGTCTTGTACTCCATGTTCATCTTCATAGTGATATATAAAGTACTTGCAGACAAGTTGAACTGGCTCCACAGGTCCAAGTTCATAAAAATTTAAACCTGTGAACCCCAGCAGCATCCAGTTTCTGCATAGTTAGCTTTACCAGGATCCTTGTGGCTGTCATTATGCTCAGACATTTGATGTCGCAAGCAGAATTTGAGAACCCGAGATGTACTGGGGAATAAATTATTTCATATTCAAATCTCGAAAACTTTAAATAAATGAAACTTGCAAGAGAATTGGCAAGTTTTCTTGTTTGCTGGGTAAATCTATTGTGGTAAAACAAAAAATCTTGGCATTTCTTATGAAAGGTTTTTAATAAAGGATTTAAAACTCTGTGTATTATGATATACATTGTCTGTCTACAGTGTCATATAGAGTCTTCTCTTTGCCTTGCCTATTTTTTCTTCACAGCTATGCATTCAAGGAGGAATATGGCACTGCAACCTTTTTTTCATCACCTCTTTCAAGCCCTTCAGTGGAAAAAAATACCACATTCATTTCTATCTTTTCCTTGTATGAATTATGCCATGAAGTCTATCAGTTAAGGAAACCTAGAATCATTTTTCTTTTAGAAGATAATGGTCTTTCAAGGGTTTACCTTTTGATACAACCAAAAGCTAATTCCTTTCTGCTTCTTTATAAGCCATTTGTTTCTTTAATTTCTGTTGTAAGTTCCCCTGTCATTAGAAAAAGCAGGATAGTGTCCTGGGTAGAAAATATGTTATAATTTTTTCTCTAATGGTCCAAAGAGAAAGAATTCAGATTTTTTTTTTTGCTGAATATATTAAAAATGTACTGGAAGATCTCCAGTGTTTTGTCTCTAAACAGATCATATCAAACATACAGTAAGCATACAGAGTATCAAATTTAATCCATCCTGGGGTTGTCAGAGAAAATGCAAGAGAATCAAAAAGAGTTGGACTGAAAATCATTTTTTTGGTGACATTTGCAGTATTGTCCCCAGAGAATTTTACAAAACTAATGTTTCTATTCTTTCTTCATGCAGTCTATAGTGTTTTCAGCCACATAAATAGTAAAATAAATTCAAAGTTGCCAAAAATTTGTAGTATATTGTTTTTCAAGTTGATTTTTCCTTCAGACATTGATGTTGTCTTATTAGCTGTTTTTTCTTCCTTAGAATTAGCTCTTGCTACTTCCCATGAGAACTGTCTATGCAGTACGCATTTATGTGCAAAAGTATCTTTAATTCTTGGTAGCAGGGTTTTTCCCATAGTTATTAAAGGGCTGGAAAAGCCCTCCTTATTAAAAGGCTCCTAATGTAGTTACATGTATTTAATGAAGACTATTTTTCATTTTGTCAGTCTTATCTTTGGCACAGTTTTCTACCAGTTTATATAACCAACGGTATGCTTCAAAGGTAATTTTTATAGTTTAGGATACAGACATGCTGCAGTCCAACAGAGGGAGTTGAGTTCAATATAAATACAGGTCTTGCTTACCACATCCTGGAAATCAGGGAGCTGGAGAAGGTGTTGGAGCTGTAGCACATTGCCAAATGGATATGGACATTTAGTAAAAAGCTGCAGTTAGCAGAGCTGACACCATCTTTGGGTGAGTAGCAGTGTATCTTTTAAAAGTGGGAATCGGTGTATGTGCAGCACTAATAAGATCATTTCTACAACATTGTACTTGATTTCATTAATAATGCCTTTAAAAAGAAGTTAATAAGTTGAAAATGTTTCAGAACAGAGCCACAAGAATGCCAGCAATTTTGCTATATTCTGTGAGACTGAACAGAAATTGTGGAGTTTAGCAAGAAGAAGGTGGAATGAGTGAATGAGTTTCTGCTTAACCAGGGAACATTTTTGTGATAGAGAACTTTCTATGACATAGTTAAAGAAGTGTATGAAGTCTGAAGCTGAAGTAGGACAAAGCAACCATGTCTATATTGGTAGACATTGCTTTGTAACTTATTGGGTAGATGTGCTTTGTAGTGTTCATGTAGTCCCCCAAAAGCCCCCTGTGGCTCCCTCTCTGCTCATACGCTTGGGTTTTTCTCTGGAGGAAGCCAAGGTTGCAAGGGGATGAGGTGCAAGCAAATATCTTCTTAGCAGGGAGTCAGCCTGTGGACTTGATGAATACGTGGAAACTGGAACTGCTAAGTGTGCCACAGAGTATATCTGCCCTACAGTATGTAGACTTCCCTTCAGTATAGACACCT